CCTTCCTCCTGAATTCGGGTTAGCCTTGTGACTTGTCTGACCAGAAGAACGTGGCCGAAGTGAGATTCTGGGGCTTCTGAGTCCAAGACTTAAGAGAAACCTGTAGCCGATGGAAACCAGCTGCCACATTATAAGGAAACTGAGCTCCCAGCTTAGGGCAACCTCAGGAAGACCCCAGGGGAAACCATGTGAAGCAAACATGAACCAGCCCCACCAAGCTCTGAAGAGATGGCAGAATCCCGAGCAAATACATGATTGCTGTTGCTGTGGCTGTCTGTAAGTTTTGAGGTGGTTTGTTATGTAGCAATAGATAAAGAGCCAATAAGCATCATTGACAGATACAAAGAAAATCCTTAGTCCTCAGCTGAAAATGCAGAGTCCCCCTGTAGACCACAAATTAAGACCCTTACCGAACAAGCCCGACACCTGATGCCTAGCTACCGTGTGGGGAGGGTAAAGCCCTGAGTGTGACTGCATCATCTGGCACAGACATGTTACTGCAACAAGAGACTTTAGGACTTCAGCATTCCACGTGTCAAAATCACGATCTTCAAAATGGCCTCATTCGGAAAAGCTATTAATATAAAGGGAAATAACTGAAAAGCTCATAGAGGTCTATCTTAAGGTTTATCAACCATTTTCACTATGGCTAAATGGAGTTCTCCCCAGTCATGCCCATACTGTAAGACTGCTTCCTTCCTAGCCAGCAGGGTCTCGTCAAGCCTTGAATGTTGCAATCATTAGCAGCTTTTTGGGTAAAATGTGCTGAATGTTCATGAATGATTTCAACTTGTATCTCTCTGGGACCATGATCTGGATCATGTCAAGAAATGTGCTTGTCAGGGCTTCCCTGGTGGCGCAGGGGTTGAGAGTCCGCCTGCCGATGCAGGAGACACGGGTTCGTGCCCCGGTCCGGGAAGATCCCACATGCCGCGGAGCGGCTGGGCCCGTGAGCCATGGCCGCTGAGCCTGCGCATCCAGAGCCTGTGCTCCACAACAGGACAGGCCACAACAGTGACAGGCCCGCATACCACCAAAAAAAAAGAAAAAAAAAAAAGAAATGTGCTTGTCATGGACTAATGTATGAAAGTTCATACATTTTAAGCTTAAAGATTGTCATCTTCGGGGTATATACATTAGCCATTCAATATATACTAATGGATTCCATGACAGAAATGCAGGCACAAGAGCTATTTCACTTTTTCTGTCATTCTAACGATGAACAGGATGTTCCTAGCCTGCCCCCAACCCCTACTTACCACCAGGCCCACCCTATCGTTTTCCTTCTCTCCATGTTATCTCTCCTGGAGCTAGAAAAGAGGTCTTTGGACAAATGCACACAAGGAGCTGCACTCTCCATATACCACATGCCAGAACTGCCCAACAGGCTCTCAAGGTGTATCTATACCCTGAGTCAGTGGTTCTCAAACACCCAAATGCTAAGAATAACACAGGGAGAGCTTGTTAAAACACAGAGTCCTTGGCCCCAGCACTGCAGGGTTGTATTAGTAGGTCTAAAATAAGGTCAAAGAATCTATCGATTTAGCAAGCCCCTTCCATGTTTATTTTATGCAGCTAGGTTTGAAATCTTCACTAATGTTAGACAAACTACCATTTAACATAGTAGCGTTTTTCTTTTTTAGTTTTATTTATTTATTTTTGGCTGTGTTGGGTCTTTGTTGCTGCACGCGGACTTTATCTAGTTGTGGCGAGCAGGGGCTACTCTTCATTGCAGTGCGGTGGCTTCTCTTGTTGCGGAGCACGGGCTCTAGGCGTGTGGGCTTCAGTAGTGTGGCACGCAGGCTCAGTAGCTGTGGCGCACGGGATTAGCTGCTCCACAGCATGTGCCATCTTCCCAGACCAGGGCTCGAACCTGTGTCCCCTGCATTGGCAGGCGGATTCTTAACCACTGCGATACAGTGGTTAAGCTACTGCACAGTAGCTTTTAAACCTTTTTTTTTTTTTTAAACTAAAACCTATAAGACAACATTTTATATTATGACCCAATACAGACATAAATGTGTATGTATAATATCTGAAATAAAACAAATATTTCACAAAACACTGTTTTCACAAAACAATGTTTAACCTTAGTACATAGTATTAGCCACAGAACATGTGATGAACACTGTGTTCTTCTATTATCCTACTGCTTCTTAAAAATACTGGCCATAACCTACTAGAGCAACAATCCACAAAGGCAATATTCACATATGAGCTTTACAATTTTCATGAGCTCCAGATTATAAAAAAAGACATTACCACAACAAAATAAATCCAAAGATAATAGAAGGAATTAAGTAATAAATAAAAGCACAGAAATTAATTAATTAAACCCCAAATAGGATCAACAAAGCTAAACTTTTTTTTTTAAAGACTAAAGACATTTGGGCTTCCCTGGCGGCGCAGTGGTTGAGCATCTGCCTTCTAATGCAGGGGACACAGGTTCGAGCCCTGGTCTGGGAGGATCCCACATGCCACGGAGCAACTAGGCCCGTGAGCCACAACTACTGAGCCTGCGCGTCTGGAGCCTGTGCTCCGCAACAAGAGAGGCCACGATAGTGAGAGGCCCGCGCACCACGATGAAGAGTGGCCCCCGCTTGCCACAACTAGAGAAAGCTCTCGCACAGAAAAGAAGACCCAACACAGCACAAATAAATTAATGAATAAACTCCTACCCCCAACATCTTCTTTTAAAAAAAGAAAGAAAGAAATTGACATTAGACATAATTCTGGTAAGATTAATCAAGACACGATAGTGAGGCCCGCGCACCACGATGAAGAGTGGCCCCCGCTTGCCACAACTAGAGAAAGCTCTCGCACAGAAAAGAAGACCCAACACAGCACAAATAAATTAATGAATAAACTCCTACCCCCAACATCTTCTTTTAAAAAAAGAAAGAAAGAAATTGACATTAGACATAATTCTGGTAAGATTAATCAAGATAAAGAGAAAATAAAGCACAAATAAATACCTAGAATGTTAAGGGGCCCATAACTCTACATACTGCATGTATTTAAAAGATGAGATGGTATCAATGAACTTATGCCAAAGGATTTGAAAATTTAAATGAAATGGAGAAATTCTTTAAAAATCTACCTTATTAAAACAGTCTCAAGGAGAAACAGCAAACCTGGAAAGCTCTATAATATTAAAGAAACTGAATCAAAAGTTTAAAAAATCTTCCTATAAAGAAAATTCCAGGTCCAAAAGATTTTCCAAGTTCTACCAAACAGTCAAGAAACAATAATTCCAATTTTACACAAATTATCCCAAAGTTCGGAAAAAGGAAGAAACATTTCCTGACCTACTTTAGGAGGCTAGTATAACACTAATACCAAAAATCTCAGACCAGTGATTCTCAAAATACCGTCTGGGGGCTCCAGGGGGTCCCCAAGACCCTTTCAAAGGATCTGAACTATTTTTATAATAACGCTGACATTATTTTTTCACCTTCATTTGCCAGAGGCTACATGATGTGTGATAATGCAAAGACTGAAGGCAGAAGTAGACACAAAAATCCAGCTGTCAACTTTTTCCAAACATAATGAAATATATCAACTCACGGATTCAAGATGCTCACCTCCAAGTACAATATATACCAAAAAAACCAAAAACAAGACAAAAACCAACTAGATATATCAAAGTAAAACCACTAGAAAGAAAGCCAAAGAAAAATATTAAAAGCAGCCAGAGGGGAGGAAATCTATTCAAGGCAGATTAAAGAGCTATACGTAACAGGCAAAACTGTAAGATATTTAGAACACAAGAGAGAATGATTTCCAAAATAAAATGCAAAAATGCAAATCACAAAAAGATAAAATAATAAATTCAGTGTTACAATTAAGAATTTTTATTCATCAAAAGGCATCATAAGGAAGTAAAAAGACAAGCTATAAACTAGAAGATATTTGCAATACATGTAACCAATAAGGACTAACTAGCAACCAGAATAAAGAGCTCCTACAAAGTAATAAGAAACAAACAAAAAAGCCAAAACAAACAACAGAAAACTAAAGACTTAAACAAGAATGTCACAGAAGAGGCAACAAAATGGCACAGAAACATCTGAAAAGATGTTTACTCTAATTAATGGACAGGAAAAGTATGGCAATAAAACAACAAGACATCTTCTACCCACCAGCATGGTAGA